TTCTTCCGGCAGCAAGGAGGCGTCCCTTCCCCTGCGGTAAAGAACTGATCGAGCAAGCAGCCACCACATGGCCGCGGGTGCCGAACCAGATGCCTAGCTGGTCAACTGGCATAAAGTTCGGAAAGCAATTGCAGAATGCCATGCTCAGCTCCCAGCAGGTAAGGATAGGAGATGCCGTCATAGCTTGGGCACCACCTGACAGAACCCAAAACAACACCAAAGAAGGATCTTCACAGACTTGCAGCCGGCAATCCAGCAACTCAACTTGACTAAGCAGAGTACCACACGGAGAGCAAGTCACCTATCTTCCATTCACAGACCTTGCGGGTTCATGCCAATGCAGACTCCACTATACTCCACTTAGTATCAGAAGACGACGTCACAGATTGTCGTTGGGCTGTCTGGGAAGGCAGCCATGCTTGGGTCCGCGTTGAAGATGAAGCGCCGAATTTTGCAATTGAGCCTTGGGGGGATTTGAGGCTATCAAGGTGAGATGTGATGCCGAACTAAGCTGGCCACCCATCTTTCTCGGACTCACCCGGTCACAGAGCGCTGCCAGGCAGAGCATGCCCGGCTTCACCTTGTCAAGCTGCGCTGGGAACCTGGTAAGCTGCCTTGCTGCCTTGATCTGTCAGGACATCTCACCTGCGCTGTCCTGCATCTACGAGTTCTTGTTCAACGAAAAAAATGTTGCGGGCTTAAAACGCTGGGGCTTGGGCTCTGCAAAGCAAGCACGAGCGGGTGACAGTTGACCTCGGAAACAAAGCCAAAGGGCTGTAGAATGGCGAGGGATTACAAGGATAAGGCCACCGCGTAAGCCCTGTGTGTGATATTGATATCTGCTCCCTGTTCCCCAGGGCCTGACAAGAACACACCAGCAGGCCTTCGCTCTCGTATTTCCGCTTGCGCCGAAGAATAAATTGCTCATCCTGTTCTAAGAGGTCGTGGATGTGCATTTTGGCACTTCGTGGAGCCAGGTTGCTGGCCTTGGATGGTTTCGGCTTTGCGCTCTGCGTGTCATAACCTGGCATTGACAATAAGGCTTAATCGCTTCATGCCCGTTGCAATTTGCAAAGTCCCCCACAGCCTGACTCTGGAAACAAAGGCCAATCCTTTCCGTCTAGCTCCATGAAGCCTTGGTGCCAAGATATACCAAGGACACTCACAGGAATCGACTGAGGAGATTGGCCAAGCTTGAAATGCAGTGGGATGTTCCTGAAATGTCCTGCGGCGAAGCATTTCTGAGTGCAACACTGCTCCAGCTGGCGCGCGTTGCATGCAGCTGCAAGGAAATACCAAGCGAGTGGCATCTTTCTGGGGATCTGGCTTGGAGTGTTGGCTTATGTTGGCTTGTGAGTGAGACAGCTTGAAACCCTGGCCTGTCTTATGGAAAGTAGGGTAAGTGGAGGCTGGGCTTGCTGATTGCTCTTTGGGCATTGTCTGACGGGCGCGCGGTGGCCAACCAGGTTTCCCGTCACAAATCATGCTGAGTGGCACTGCTCTCTTCAGAAATTCCTTTTCAAACGCGTAGTTTCAATAGTCCTCTTCAGAATCAATGTCTGTCGCTGGATGCATCGAATTTCATGTCATGTCATGTCCGTCTCGGACTTATGGCTCATTCAAGCCGGCGAGGGTCATACGTGGCCTCGTGTTCCTCTTCGGCAGAGGCTCTGGGAACTTGAAAACTAGTACTATCGCAGCTGCGTTGTCAGCTGCGCTGACTTTCGCGGCATTTTCGACCACTGCCTTCGCGGCATCCTGTGGTTGCTCGGTTGTTCGCAATGCCCTTCGAGCATGGGTCACCGCAAATTGATCCTTAAGAGGGTCCCAAATGCCATCCGAGGCCAGGATCAAAAAATCGGTCTCCTCATCAATCTCAATTTTATACACATCGGGCTCATTGATGATGCCCTTCACCTTCTCGCCGCTTGCATAGGTGATGTTCCCAAAGGCGCGAGAGACGGCCACGTGGTCTCCAACATAGCCTCCGCGCACTTCAACCCCAAGCTTCTGAAGCCGTTCGGCTTCGGCTGGGTTCTTTTCCGCCCCGTGATCAGCCGAGACAGCCTTGGCTTTGGTGCCATCGGTGCACAGGACCGCTCGGCAATCGCCGAGGTTGCAGATCCAAAGGTCCTTGTCCTTCACGAGGGCCAGGACTGCAACGGTGCCCGAGGACACCTTGACCTCCTCGGGTTTTCGAGCTGCCGCCAAGACTGTCTTCATGAGCTCTTCGTCGGTGTTGCGGAAGGCCAGGCGAATGGCTTCCTCAACGTCAGGCTCCTCCTGAAGATGCGTTCTGAGGATGTCCGGCAAGGTTTTTTTGATGATGGACACTGCCTCGTCGCCGGCGTGCCCATCATAGACTGCGAACATCCGGAATCCTGCCACGTCCTCCTGGACGTCCACAGCATCTTCCATCCTCTGTCTCTGGTTCTTGGCAACGGCCCACCCGAAGTCAGCACCACCTCCGCTGTCTTCTTCCGGCAGCAAGGGGGCGTCCTTTCCCCTGCCCAGGCATGGGCAGGTCAAGAACTGATCGAGCAGCCACCACATGGCCGCGGGTGCCGAACCAGATGCCTAGCTGGTCAACTGAGAGCCTTTTCGCAGCATTCGCACGTGCCAAGGCTTCATCTGAAACCTAGAGCTCTGCGGCCGGCACCAGATGCGTTCAATTTATTTCAATTTAAGGTTGATGCTGTGCGCGTACCAAGATTCGGCCCCCTTAACCGCTGGAAGCAGTCAGACAACTTCCCTACAAATCCGCGGAGGCCGGAGGCCTGGCGTTAAGATCCAGGTCCGGAAACTAGGAGAGTAAATTAGCCGCCCCCCTCTCCCTCCCAGCGGTTGCTGTTCGGGGGTCTGAGAGTTTTTATATGTTTTTGTTTCTCGGAAAAGAAGGGAGGGGTTCAGCTGGTTGTGGCATGGGTGAG